ACGTTCGACGACGAGGAGGCGCAGGAGCGACAGGAGGAGTACCGGCAGAAGGTCGGTTCGCTGTAGTTCGTGGCGACGACGTTGAGGTCAGACATCGCCTTCGCCTACAGCAAGCTGGGGAGCGGCCTCACGATGAGGAGCGACCAGCACTGGCGCGAGGTTGACCGCTGCCTCGCCTACCTCGCCAACACGCGTGACACCGCCCTGGAGTTCGGCGGTGGACCTGAGTTGATGAAGCTGGCCGGCTACATGGACGCTGACGACGTGTGTGACAAGCAGATTTGGACGAGCATGGGCGGCTACGTGTTCGTCTACGGAGGGGCCACAGTCTCCTGGTCGAGCCAGCGCATCAAGTGTGCGACGCTGTCGTCGACCGAGTCGGAGTACATGGCTGCAACATAAGCCGACAAGGAGGGACGCCGCCTTCGCTTCCTCCTTGCAGAGTTCCGGCAGCTGGATGCTGGGAAGCCAACGGTCCTTCGGGTGGACAACAAGTTGGCCATCACGGTCGCCAAGGGAATGGGGCTGACTGACGGGCAACCTCAAGCACATGGAGCGGCGACAGGCCTGGCTGCAGCACATGGTGAAGCGCGGGAAGTTTTCGCTGAAGTACATCCCGACCGCTGAGCAGCCGGCCGACTTCCTGACGAAGGCGCTGCACTATCCGGCCTTCAACTGGTGCTCTGTCACAATCGGCCAAGTGCGTCTGGCCGACGTGGGCGACGGCGACGACGACGTGCAGCAGTAGGTGCCATGCCCTCTTGCATGGCTGGTGCGGTGACCGGTGTGCTGTGTGTGGGGTGCATGCCGACGAGCTATTCCTGAGCAGTGCTGCAGTGCGGGCTTGGGGGCCCAAGCGTGAATACGGCAGGGGAGTGTTAATGGGAGTTGTGTTGGGTGGAGCCGACCTTGTGGTCGGGTGTACGGGGAAGTGCAGCTGACCTGTAGCAATGGGCGAGCTGGTTGACGAGGAGGTCGACCTGCACGGGGGCCACTGCTACGGGTGCCGACTTCGGGGCGCCTAGTGTGGGGTGGTCGACCTGGCGAGGTCGACCTAGCAGGGCGCCGACTTCAGAGTGCCGACCTTGGGTGGCCAACGACTTGGCGATGTCAGCGGCCTAGTCCCGAAGTGGCCGACGAGGGGACGCCGACCAGGGAGGACGCCGACCTGACGACATCGACCTGGTTGCCTGGTCGACGGTGCTACGCTTCAAGTTGACCAGAGGCTTTGCTAGCTCTGATGTAGTCTTGCATGCCAATGTTGTTGCTATCATCGTTCTCAACCTTTGCTAGTGAAACTCTTTCTTTTTTTCCCCGTGAATGAACAAGTGCTAGAAAACGACTAAGGACCAACGAATGCAGAGATCACACGAGCACCCGTGCCTAGCCCGTAGTCTAGCTCCCGTTGCTTTAGTTATCTCCGCACTCCCGATACAAGGCAATCATGGCCTTATTGTCGACGTACAGAACTGGAGGAGAACAGGCCGCTCACCCAAGTCGGCCAGCAAGTAGACCAAGCATAGCCCCAGCGTAGATCTCGGCCTCACAGCTGGACCCTAGCAGACGAACGAGTTGACCTCCATGAGACAAAACCAAAGCCGAGACTGAAAGAGTTTTCCCTATGACGATTGCCGAGTCGCCTGGTCGTCGGCCTAAGTAGCGTCGGAGTGTCCTTCGAGTACCATTGGACCCTGTCCTCCAAGCACGAGCCCAATTTCTGATGTACTGCATAAGTAACGCAGTACCCTCTGAGCAACTGTCCAGTGCTCCTTCTTGTGTCGCCCGAGCGCAACGAAGCGAGCAAGGATGCTGAGAGGGTACGCGAGGTTTGGTTGTGTGCACGTAATAAGGTATATGAGGCAGCCCACAAGCTCTAGATACGGGCCACTCGACTCAACGGACTCGTCCGAAGGTGGAGCTGAGAGCGAGTGGCCTGTAGGCAGAGGAGTGCGTTGTTGCGAGGAGAACTGATAGTAGAAGCGTTGAAGGACCTGCTGCACCATGTGTGAGTGAGTCATAGTGATGGTACGCCTTGCTCTGTCCCGGGTGATCTGCAAGCCAAGATAGCTCCGCAGCTCACCCAGGCCAGTACAAGTGTGTCTCTTCTGCAGCTCCGCCTTCACAAGGGTCAGTGCCTCAGTGTCAGCAGTAGCAAAGACCAAGTTGTCGACGTACACGAGGATGTAGAACGGCGGCAGAGTAGGGTCGGTACGCATAAACATCGACGGGTTAGCAGTCGAAGGAGCAAACCCAAGCTGCAAGTGTCGTCCTCGGTGTGTCGTGCCACTCGCAGCGGGGCACCTGGCGGAGACTGTAGACTGGCTGCTGGAGGCTCCATTGGATACCCTAAAAAAATGACTCAATGAAGCCAGGTGGGCGGCGCAACCAGATTTCCTCGTGAAGGCTGCTCTGCAAAAACGCTGTGGAGAAGTCGAGGGAGTGCAGCTCGTAGTCACGCTGCGCTGCAACGTGCAGTAACATAACGAGAAGAGTTGCCATCTTTGGGGTGGGGGAGAAGGTCCGGAAGATGTTGACCCCTTGTCGCTGACTGAAGCCTCGAGCAACATAACGAGCCTTGAAGACATGCGGAGAACCCGGTGACCACTTCACTTTGAAAATCCACATGCCATCGACTATGTTCGCTTCAGGAGGGGGAACCTTGTCAACGTAGGAGCTTGTGGACTTCCAATAAGCCATCTCTAAGTCGATGGCTATCTGCCGCTGAGAGGAATACTCACCAGTGATTGCCTCTGCCTCAGTGTAAGTGCGCGGGGTCGGGATGTCTAGTGCATTCGGGTCTCCCTCAGAGCAAAGCAGCATGGACGCGGTACGAGGTAAAGCGACCGCCAAACACTCAAGCTCAAAAAGGCTGTCCTCATGGACGTCACTGCCAAGGGCAAGCTCACCCCCGACGGATGGAGGACAGACAACTCAGACTCAGTAACCAGAGTCGCGACGTAGTCGAGACGACGGGTAGCAGCAAAGTCGACTAGCTCAGTGATTAGGGAAAACACAGCAGTAGACTCAAACGAAGGGTCAGTGACAACAGTGGCAAGGAGACGAGTGACAGTAGGACTAGCAGCACGAGCAAGGTCGGACTCAGGGTCAGGAATGTCAGGAAGAGAGGATGCTAGAGAACAGCACGATGTGGAACAGAGGAAGGTCGAAAAGCCATGGTGTGCGTGCCGGGGACAGGTAGAGGACAAGGACGACGAGCATGACGCACACGAACAACAAGCCCACGCATGTCGCCCTTGTGCGACCATTACTGTATTTTTCATTGGTCAGTGATGATGGGTCATGATGTCGTGTGCTCGGTTTGAAAACCCGACGGTTGGCACTCGGCTTGTTGTCCGTGTGCGTGTGCGTGCATGCGTGTGTGCATGGAGTGGTATGAGTGCATGAAATAAATATATGTTTCATGCTTATAATGGTGTGTGAATGATGGGTCATGATGTCAAGTGTGTGTGTCGAGTCAATAGCGAGTTATCGCTAGCCGCATATCACGCGGTTATTTTGTGTGTCCCGCGCGGTTTCTATTTTGTCGTGCGCGGTTTCTATTTTGTCGCTTGTCGAACGTTCGGCGTGTCGCAGGTGTGTGCAGCAGACCCATCAAGAACTCAAGGATGAGTTTGTGGTGAAGAACCCGAGCCTTGGTTCAAGCTTCAAGTGTTTTCGAAGCTCGCCAAAAAGGCTACACCTCAAGATATTGAAGATTGTTACATTACAAAGTGTAGTGTAACATTTCTATGGGTGTAGGCCCTTGTGGAGGGTAGTTTCGAGACCCTTCTTGGTTGGGGACAGTGTGGCACTGTTCCACATCACTGTACCTCGGCTCTTGGGGTTTGTAGGAGCTGGAAGTCATTCCCAGCTCGTAACTCTTCCTAGATGTTTGTAATTGTGTGTGCTAAGACTATGTTGCTGCCATAGTGCCGTTCGTTCAATCTGACGCTGTGTCGTCAATTCTTGATGAAATCGTGCAATCTAAATTGCCTTTGTTGATGAAATCGTGCGATCTAAATTGCCTATTGTAGAGGACGTTAAGACGCTCCAGTTGAATGAGGTCAATTGGAGCTGTGACCAGATCGCTATGAACGTTTAAAGCCGCTGTGCAGAAATCCGACTGTGCACTCTATCTTTCGTTTTAGGCACATTGAAACCTATTGTGACTATAACAACACTTGTGTCTCACTTTCGTGACGCGTAGGAACAGCATAAAACGTACAATGTCACAAACGCATGTCGCCCTTGTGCGACCATTACTGTATTTTTCATTGGTCAGTGTGAAATGCGTTGACGTCGCGGACGAGTTGCATATTGACCCGTCACTGTCAACGAGTAGTACGCGGTTCGAAATGTCAATGCACATGGACACCTCACAATGCCAATTGCGCGCGGGGATATAAACCGCTCGTCAAAACCCCACCCGAGCCAGGCGTTTGCAAATTAATATGAGGTGGCAAGTAGTCATGGCACACAAATAAACTTGGACCCTACACTCCCAACACACTTCTTCTCATTGTACACATAATATTTTGAAATCGCTCCATTCGCAGCTCCACCATAGAAGCTGTAAGCACCCGAGCATGTCAATGATGGTGACACTGGCTTTTGCCTGCCGTTCTTGCATTTGCCAACAACGAATGGCCAATATTCCGCTCTTAGGCAAATCTGCATTGGCGGCATTTGCAAAGACATCCCACGAAAGGAACATGTACTAAGGCATAGATAGGCATGAGCAGAACACCTTCTCAACGAACATAAAGGGCTAATAGTTGAAAAAAAAAAAACTTTTACTTTGGCATATCAGAAATGACCCCTTGCCCACTCACCCATGAAATGCACGTTTAGTCCACAAGTTTCCTCTCCACTTTCCCTCCCATGTCTTACTCACCCCATCCCGGTTCCCCTTCAACCCTCACCTGCACGCCAGTGTTGCTGCCAACAGCGGATGCGGAGGCTGGGATGACATTTGAGCAGATGAGGCCGGGATTGTTGCGTTACAGCTCAGCCCAGCGCATGGCATTCACCTTCCCAGCCCACGATTGGTCTTCCTCACTCCCCGCCACCTGCTGCAGCAGGCGCTCGCATGTGTCCTGTGCTGTGAGCACACCGTATTGCAGGCACCGAGGCACAGTGTAGACGAAAGTGGCGTTGCGCTCGATGCACAGAGAGCGGCCCGCCTTGATGGGCTCAGAGCAGTTGAGGCCGGGATTGAGTGCTGTGAGGTCGCTGGTGGTGAGGAACAGCTGGGCGCTGATGGACCAGCATGTGTCGCCCTGGAGGGTGGAGCAATGGGAAAGAATGTACGGAAGCCTGAGGTGAAAGGAGTGCAGCTTTACTATGCGGAGCTAAGCAATGCAGAGTGGGGAATATAGAGGAATGATTGATGAGATCATACAACGAAGAAAAACAAAAAGGGCTAATTCTCACACTGAGGGTGTAGAAGAACGCAGTGCAGGGAATGAGGACAGGACTTCCCAGCTGAAGCACCATGTTACGAGGCAATGCATGATTGCAATCAATGCCCTGCAGTGAGGAACGCGGGAATTTTTTCAATCAATTGTTCAGGGGATGGCGTAACGTTTGCATGATGAGCCGGCAAGAAAATGGACAGAGAAAACTTAAGCTGTTGAGTGTAGGTGTAGCGACATGAATTTTCTAATGGACTTCATTTGGCTTTTGAAGATTATATAATAAGGCGTAAAGCTCTCTTCCGAAGAACCAACAACTTTGATCGACCACTAGCGATGCCTGCCTCTCCACTCTTGCAGCCTCTCCATCTCCACTGCTTACCGCATTCTGCTGCGTGAATTGGGCAAGTGAGAGGCCCACAATAGGGAGAACATCGTAGCACCACCAGTTGCTTCCACTCACTACCAGGGTGGTGGCTGGAAATGACGAATGTGAAAGCAGGGGAACACGCCCAAAACAAGGTGTGTGTGCATAACATGGATGGACAGGGGAAATAGTTCGCAGGGGTGGCGATGACCCCAACATGTCGTGCAAGAATAACCGAAAGAAACGGCGACCCTCCTACAAACGAAGTCAAGGCAGCAGCACCTGGGTCGCAGGTGGGGAAGTTGTCAATGGTTGTGCTCGCAACGTAGTTGGGAGGGCAGATGTAGGAGTAGGAGCCCTTGGCGTCGTTGATGCATGCTCCCACGTAGCAGGGGTTCTTCAAGTCAGACCCACACACATCCACTGACAAGCGGCACAAACACAATTGTGGAGCACAGCGTTGAGAGAGATACGTGCGTTGGGAGCAATGGGAGAGTAACAGGAGGGATTAGAGGGAGAGATAGAACTCCAGAAGGATGTAGACAGTGGATTGATTGAAAAAACATCCGAAGATAAAACAAGCCCGTTGTTCTGAAAACGACCACTGTTCTGACATGGTTCAAAGTTATCATTTGAGAACTTGAACCAAACAACTTACAGTAAGCACACGTTTGGAAGCCATATCCGTTTGCAACTCGAACAAATGGCTGCTTAGACTCGTTGGGAATGGAACAGTCACACGAGTTGCTGTTGTTCCGTAGATTAACCCGGCATGTGAACCGTCCACACGGGTTCATGCTGGGCTGCAAGTCACCATCGCCCTTGAAGCTCTTGTGGCCGCAAGGGTCCTTGGGGACTGGAGGGTGGTACAGACGACAACAGAAGGAGTAGAAACAGGTGTGTATGCGGCTTCATTGGAAAAGACGGTGGGCAGGAAAAGGCAAGCCTTAGAAAAATGACAGGTGTAAAAATCTAGAATCAACATACAACTTTGTGATTGACCACTTTACAACTTTGAGGACACCATTGGCTCACACTCCCTTATCTCTGTTGGCAATGCCTCCACCCTGCTCTAATCCATAGCCAAAAACAAAAGCCATCCTCTAGACAAACGTTGACTAAATGCTTGTTCTGTGAATTTCACCCTGACCCAAATATGGTTGACCATGTGATGTACTCAAAGGGGGGGATTGCCATATGGGGAGCGTGATGGGGGAAGCTGCCCCACTCAAGACCACGAGGTAGATGTCTCACTCTTGACAATGGAATAGATGCCTCACTCTTGACTATGGAATAGATGACTCACTCTTGACAATGGGGTAGATGCCAGGCAGCACGTTGATGCCACACACGCCATCCCCTCCCTGAATGTCCATGCGCATGTGGCCCCGGTCGCCCCACTCCACTCCCCACGAGTTGCGGAGAATCCAAAATGGAGGCGCAATGCGATTTTGGCTCTCGTCATTTCTCAAGACGAAGTAGCCAACAACGAGTACGACGTGGTTAAGTTTGCCGGTATAACAGCCAGGATCCTGTTACTTGAAGGTCTGAAGAGGATGGGAGCACCACAACAAACAACGAACAGCCACTTCAGGCATTTTAATGCAGGTAACAACTTTTGTACAGCTCTTGACAACTTGTGGACAACATGAAGGATTAACGCAAAAAACACCCACCCCGTCATATTGTGCAAAATCCGGACCAGAAGCCTCAATGTGAACCACCACTGGCTGTCGTCGCACTGACAGCATGAGCCCCACAAACCCCTTGAACCTCGTGCGCTCAAACCCGTGCACAGGGTACTCCTTTGTCTGAAAAAAGGAAGAGAGAAACATGAAAGTAATTTACCATGAAGAACGAAGGTTTGCTTGCTGAAATTGCAAGCGACCAATCATAGCAAGCAAAAGAATAAAGGGTGCATTTCAAAATGATTAAAATATACATTGTGCACTCATATACGTTGCCTTCTGAATGTTTCAAGGAATCACCAGGTCTGACACGGCCCTCTTCCTGCTTAGGGCAAGCCGGCCTAGGCCGACCATTAATCACGCCTGGTAGCCTCTTGCTGCCATAACTTGGCCTCTTGGCCCCGACCCAACCAGTTTATTATTATGCGCATCGAAGTTCAGGCGCTCTTGTATGCTAACAGGACGTTAGTTCAACTCGGTTATAAATTACAATCCATGACAGCGGCTTCAACGACTCAGAAGAGTCCTTGTATCTCCAGTTGTAGTACAGTTGCCACTCTTGCAACATCAAGCACACAAAAAATCCCCAAATCTCATGAAAGTCTACACACTCTAGTCTTTCACATCACCACACTACTCACAGGCGATCCAGCCTCTGTGATACTACCACGATGCAGCGTGAGAAGCCTCTCCAGCGCCTCAGTTGGAGAGCCCCCCGTGATGCACTTGTCAGCTTCGGAGGTGAGCCCCATGGCTGCAAAGAGTGACTCCACTGACAGCTGCGGCGCCTCTGCATTCATTGCAATGCCGTATGCCGCTTCCACACTTGCCACCAGTGCAAATGCCCAACAAGCACTTGAATATGATGAACACAGTTTCATAGTTAATTGAAGCTGATGCGACGACGGCTGAAAAATGATGGAAACACGTATTGAGTAGAGCATTGTGCGATAGTTGAATTGAAACATGAAAGTGACCAGCAGCAGAGCAGCAAACAGAAACTTGCAGACTGTAGCAAGCAACCAACCAAGATACACCAACCAAGCTATCAGCTCCAACATGCTACTCCGGGTTTCCCAATGATTTCACTCACTGCAGTCTTTTTGGTCCTTAACGGGCCAGCCAAGGAAGGGCACGGAGTCCCAGGAGTGGAAGTCGCTGATGACCCACGAGTCCTGCTGGCTGGGCGCCACTCGGTAGTCCGCACTCACGTAGCGCGGGAAGGGGCTGGCCCATGCTGGCATGTACGTGTTAGTTGATAGCTGCAGGCCATAGGCTGTGACGTGCTCGGAGAACGGAATGGGATGTGAAAGAGACAAGTTGTTACAAGGGAGAACTTGAAGGGGGGGATAATGAATCCAATGAGTTGGGGTGCACTGCCCTTTCAATGTTGCGCTGCACCCCATATCTGACATGCGCACCTCATGTGGCCATTCCACATCCATATCACATCCACCAAACGAGAACCCTGTTGAGTGCTGATGCACATGATACCTCAATCTTGCGCGGTTCAGGCCTCTCATAAAAAAATTGCTGCCCTAATTTGGTCTACCATAAACATTGTTGCTCAGTTTCCTTTTTCCAGTTTGCTTAAAATCTAGGTGCACTTTGCTGAGCACCATCAACTACATTGTGTTGGTTATCCTTCCTGCTTGCACCTACTATACTGAATTCATGCGCATTTAAAACGAAGAACATCCAAAAGAAGAGTAGAAGCATGGTAAGGAGAGTGAAAGATAAACAAACGCGAAGGCAAACATTTGTACAGATTATTATATGGCCATAACAGTCAGTCAGTCACAACGATGTCTCTTTTGTCCTTCTAACAGGTTGTTTTGAGAGTCGCAGCAGTAGCATGGGAGACGACGTCTCACCTGGAGTACTTGTCACTGGTCGGGAAGAAGCAGGAAGGCCTGCGAAGAAACAAAGGAATCAGAGCAAAGGAAAATGCCTTGTAAGATTCAGAGATTGTGTGACTCATATTTACTAGTCACTTTCAATTGAATGTATTCGACAAACCGTGCATCCATTTTCACAATGAATGTATTGGGCAAACCACTTTTACATTGAATGTATTGGACAAACCGTGCATACAATTTCACATTGACTTCCACTACCGTCATGAGCACCAGCACTGCCCTCATCTTCACCAGCACTGCCCTCGACTTCATCAGCTCAGCAATCAGTTATACCAGAACAAACCCCATCGTCACGATAGTTTACACCACCGACCACTCCAATGCTCGTTGCCACTTCCTTCACATCCTCCAGACCGCACCTCCAATACTGTTAACCACCATACCAAGCTCATCGCCCTGCCAGCACACACTGCCTATCTGTGTCCACTGTGGATTCGAGAATGGCGTGGCGCTGAAACGGCTTCACAGTGGTGGACGCCACGAAGCCAAAGAAGAAGGCGGGCTGCTCGGCTGCACCCTGCAGCACCTCACACAGCGCCAGCCTCCTCTCCAGCAGTGCCTGCTGCGGCTTCTCCTGCGAGTCAGCCAGGAAGACCTGGATGGTGCCGGGGTCCCCCGGCTCATAGTCCACCCACGCCGTGTACGCCTTCCTGTTGCTCAGAGGGAAGGGGGACCTCACAGCGGCTAGCGACTTGTCCTCGCCTCGAATGTTCAGCTCCACGTGCTGGCCGCTCATGTCGCCATGCTCCTTGTTCTGCAGCGTGTCAAACTCAACTGCGATGCTCCGCGTGTCCATTCCACCATACCCCACACCTGCACCACTCCCCACCCGGTCTGTCGCGGAGACGACAAAGGCAAAGCCGTTAAAGCCCACGCGGCCGGTTCGAGGCGAGAGGGAGAAGGTGAAGTTGGCATGGAAGGCGAGCTCCAGCCCACATCCCAACCGTGTCTGCCCTGCCTCGTACACAAACAGCGTCACCGGCGCAGCCGTGAAGTTCCCCCCTGTCTCGCGCTGCGTCCCCTTGGTGAGCACAGATGCTGGCGGGAGAACCGGCTGGCTTCTTGAGTGATTCTTGTTCTGGCCTGCACAAACATATCAGAGGGACGGACAGGAATGAGACACGTGCAAGAATCTGAGCGACAATTGTTTAAATAGATAAAGGAGCTCAAGGTTCTTAAGTACATGGGTTGGAACAGATGGGCAAGGAATCTGGGGCAATTCCCAATAAGTTCGGCTGAAATCTTCAATTGGTGGGGTTGAAGATTCTGGTTGATCACATCACATCTGGGCTGGCTCGGTTTATCGGTGCAACACCCAACCACGAAAACTACAACTACACTATATTAAGACATGCAAAATGCAAGTAAAAAACATGGAATGGAAGTCTCTCTCTAATAATACGAAGGTTGAACAGATTTTCGATCTACACGCTACTGGAGTTCATGTGCGTTGGACGTCCCACCATTCTGTGAATCCGTCTGTGGTCATGTTTCATTGATTTCAAGTGGTGTCCCCTACCTTGAGCAACACAGCTGATATCTCCAAATTGCACAAATCCCGCGTCGCACAGACATGTGGGTGCCAAGCTAGCTCCCTCTGGATAGCACACCCCATGTCCTCCACACGCAGCAGCAGCACCAGCAGCAGAGGAGACGCCACAGAATGCATTGCATGCTGCCTCCTGCCGCTGCGGTACCAAGGCACAGCCAAGCGGCAGCGTGAAGCAGTTGGCATCAAAAGAGAGAGGCTGGCACGCCCCGTCAGGCAGAGGGCCCGAGAGGAAGTTGGTGGACAGATCCAAGACGTGTACATCAGGAGGAATCACTGCAGGTCCTGTGAGGTAGTTGTGGGAGAGGTCGCTGCATGGGGGAGGGGAAGGTGCCGAAAGAAGGACATATGGGGATTACCTCTATTGTGCAACAAGTATGTCCCAGTGGGTAGATTCTCTCCTTTGGTCTTAGAGGTCGTGAGTTCAACTCTCATTATGCTCACCATGACATGTCCACACTCACCCACAGTGTAGTGTGGTCACAATTGACATTGCCATCTATCCACTCATCCCATACTCACCTTGCTGGCCCCTATGGTATGCCATATGCTGCCATATAGGCTGTTGTTCCAGCCTGGCCCACATGTGCAACAAGTGGCCTCAGTTGCTAGCTTCGAAATGTTGGCTAGCCTTGCCCTCAGCTTTGAGGTGCTGCAGCTAGCCTCAAGAGTTCAGCCACATATATGTGGCTTCTCACTTCACTAGAACTCATCCTTGGACAAGGACAAAATTTCTACCATCTTTCGGCTAAGGATATCTTCTTCATTATTGTGCCTTAATTTTGCTGATCCATTTTCTACAACCTCAATGCATCCAGACTAGGAAATGTGGAGTTCAAGGAGCGAAGGCGTGAGGGGTTGTTGAGTAGCATGGGTGCATGGATGAGGGATGAGAAGAGGACAAACATGGGAAAGCAGAAATGGAGAACGGTGAAAAGACGAGAAGCGGAGCAGAGGGGGAAGAGGAGGTGGACGAGGAGGAGGTAGAAGATGAAGAGGAAGAAGAGGGAAAGTAGGAGGAGAAGAGAGACGATGAGGAAGCAATCCGAAGGACGTCGATGTGGAGGATATTTTGACAGCGCAAGGGCATAACTTGTTGAGTGCGTACAAGAGGGAGAACGCCAGAGCATGCGATAAGGATTGAGGTAGTGTGCGGGTCGTACAGGTATGTGAGCTGCGTGAGAGTGCTCGGTATGCTCCCATACAGCTTGTTGAAGGCAAGATTTCTGATCGCCATGTTGGTTCGACAGAAGTATGTTACAGGACCAACCAGAATGATAGAAGAGAGGAGGGATGGAGACCAGGTTGGGTAGGTGATTAAAGGGCTGAGCAGACATGCTAAATTTTCTCGCTAGATCTACTTACCAAATGCACGTGCTGGATGTACTTGCTAGTTTTACTTGCCAGATTCACTTGCTTGATTAACTTGCGCAATTCACTTAAGTACTAAATAGATCCACCCGTTAATTTCACTCGTCAGATTCACTTGGTACAATTACTTGCTGCCTAGAAGACGGGTCTCCGGCGGAATATACGACACGCGAGGTTAATGCCAATGCCATAGGACAAAGCACCAAGAAGGCACACAGGTGCTCGCACGCTGGCCCGGCCGGGTCGGGTCGGGTTTACCGGGCCGAGTCAGCCGAACCGGTACCCGAAGTTGGGTTGGTTCGGGTTGGGTCGACATTGCACCCGACCCAATTTCGGGTACCGCGTGCTACGTCGGGTCGGGTATCTAGCCCGACCCGACATTCCCTTTCTCGACAAACCAGATTGCGATGTCAATGTCTAGGGTTTGTTTTTTCCCTCGACATTGACTTCGATCTAGAATACCTAGGCAGCTGCCAATGAAGTATTCTTAGTCTTAACTACCCTCTAAACCCGCGTACCAGTTAAGAAGACCGTTTAGGGGTGTATTTATGAAGGCGTTAACGTGGTTCCAACCTAACGCGACCTGGCGTAGCATCCATTTTTTTAGCATTTTTACCTCTTCGCTCTCACTAGTGAGTTAACGCGGGCCTCGCGTTTAAATCGCAATCCTACGCGCCTGCTAGGTGCGCATCGATAAAGACGCGACCCCGCACTCGTCTAGGGCGCGCCATTCGCGAAAGTTGCGACTCCACGTTAAGCAACCTTACGCGACCGCGCGTAAAATAATATTTACACATACTTTCAATCAATGCTACTCTGCACAGTATTAAGGAGAACATCTAACCCTGCCTATGGGAGTCGGCCCGACCCGACCCGACCCGGCCCCGCCCGACCCGACCCGGGGGCGGGTCAAGCCTGACCCGGCACCCAATACCCGGGTCGGGCCAGAGATCTCAAAAGTTCCGACCCGACCCGACCCGACCCGGAACCCGGCTGGCCCGCCCAAGTCGGGTCGGGTCGGGCCGGGCCTTTTGATCATCCCTACTCCCACTAGAGTGGGCGCTTTCAAACCCCAGATTGACTGTGGGCGACTTGAGCACCCAATTGGGCACTCCATGTGCCTTGTGCATCAATTTCCTGACCTGGACCAGCCCAAGTCGCCTCTAAGCTAGTTTTCACGCTTTGCTTGTATCCAGCACTCAATTTACTTACTGTTTTCTAGAACCTTTCAGCATTTTTTAACAAGCTTCTCCATATGCACATAGTGAAAACAAGAAAGGCCAAGAGAATATAAAGCTCATGCAAAGGAGAATATAAGTCTCCCGGGAGGGGAGATTGGTTGCTCAAAAGTAGATAAGAGGCAAAACAGGGAATTTGTGGACAGGATGTATACAATGCTTACAGATACGCCAACATCCTCATTGAACCAATCTGTGCAGGGATAAAGCCACTGAGCTGATTTTTAAACAGATACCTGAAGTGAATGTGAAGATACGATTGGATGTGAGAGAGGAAAACACAGAAAATGTGGATTGCCAAAGTCAGCAGTGGCACAAAAACGAGTTGTAGGCGTCTCTGCTTCCCAAATCCGAGCAAAGGGGTCTAAACAAGGAAGGTTTGATTGGGCTAAGGAAGGATAATCCATTGGAAAACATAAGGAAATGGTTAAGAAAGAGGTGGTCCTGAAGCCATGGCAGAAGGCACACGTTCGCAGTTTGAATTGGGTTCGACCTGACAGTTTACGTGGGCCGATCAAGTTAGGTAGGGCAGGACCGTGATAATCCTGTGCCATCACCGGTTGACACACGTGTCAGAGGGTGGTATCCTCCAGTTGCTGCAGCCGAATCCAGTCCAAATCGATGCAGGCTGGCCGGGGAAGTAATGTTGGGGTAGGCTAGAGTTTGCTATGACATTTATCAAGTATGTCTTGTTAACAAGTAAAGGCCCCACCTCGGCCCATTACAATTAGAACGCATCAGGCTGAACAACTGATTTCGCGTGCATCCTGCGTACGGACGCAGTACGCTCAGCGGAATTCGTTTTGAGCTCCAAAAAAAAAATAAAAAAATCCGAACCACGAAATCGCCATTTTCGATTTCGACGCAATTGTCAGTTCCGCGAAATCGTAACCGTATGGAAGCGATGTTGCCAAGCATAATTGCAAATGGATGGGGGCGATTTTGCGCTAGCAAACCGTTTTTCCCCGAACCACCACACATTGCCGCACTGCGTCTCTCTCTCCCCCCCTCTCCCCCCCACCCCCCTCCCCCCCCCCCCCCCCCCCTCCCCCTCCCCTCCCAACCTAGGCGACCTGAACACAATGTAAGAAGATAATCATGTCGACATTCAGAACTTTCTATCCTAGTCGACATGATTCTCATTCCGAAACCCTAAATCTCGGTTTAGATATGTGTGTAGAAATCTGGTGTTTAGGGAAGATTTCAAGGATAATCCATGAACAATGTGGTTGCAATGTCCCGAAACTTCCTCTCCCCCCCTCCTAGGCTGTTTTTTTTGCTTGCTCAAACAGTTGTTCTATCCTGCCCGCGTTGAGCTGGCACGGACCCTGAAGAAGGTGGTCGTCGCTTTCTGGAAGGGGGGGGGGGGGGGGAGGGGAAGGGGAGGATTCGCCAAACCGATAGAGGACTACGCGGAGTTCTGAAGGGAAGTTCGCAAAGCGGTTTCCGCTGTAGTGGAAAGCGCATCTGCAGCGGAGGAGGGCGCGCCTGCAAGAACGGATTTTTGCAGAGGAGCGCGTTCTCTACGGGCGAACCTCTCCGTCGCAAAAGGGTGATCGCTTCGGAACATTTGGGAAGAATTTCGGAACAAATCGGTACATTGAGAAATCGACCCCGAAAACAGTGCGCGAACTTAGGGTGTTCAATCTGGGGCGAAATTGAACCACCTGCGCAAACTGAACCTGGCACACGTTTTTGTAACCACGAAAACGTGCGTTACAGAAGTTGTTATATAACAACATGAATAGCAAAACAACTATTCTAACGTAGGTAAAAATTACCAACTAAGCACATGTTGTTTGAGCGCAGCTAAAAGTAGTTAGATAAACGTCCTTGTGCGAATGTTCTCTACTTGGTTCAGTGGTTAGGTAGCCTCTTGTTGTAACATATTTTCAATCTTTCTAGTGAACTTCTTTGGGTGCGAACTCTGTGCCTTTCAAGAGTTAACCAAATTTCTGTCTCCTTAGTGAACAACAAGCTTGCGAGACTTCAGAAATGCATTCCGTAGAAGTCTAACTCCCGTTAGAGCAGAAATTTTTGCAGCCCGACCCTGCGTCTCGAGAACTCACGAGTGAGCGTCCTGCGGCTCGACGCAAACATCCAAGACGCAAAACGCGTCTTTCCCAATACTGCCACAGCCAAGTCTAGAAGCACCAGCAGCATGAACACCTTCAATACACATAGGTTGGCGCTATCGTTTTCCTATTGTCGGCAATAGTTTAGGGCTGTCGACATTAGGTTTTTCGGGGTCTAGAAAGAGAAACCAGCTCTGGCCTCTGAATTAGCGCTTCTGGATAGGCCAGCACGAACATGATCTCGACAAACATGTTCGATGCGAACACCCTACGTGTTGCCCTTGAGGCGAACTGGCGAACACCAATTTTCGAAAATGTGTTCGGGGCGAACCAAACATTTTCAGATCGCCCAGGTGACCTGTTCAAGCACGGGCGGACGCGAACATGTTCTTGTTCACCCTTTGCTCAGGCCTACCTAGGACACTTGTTACAAAACGAGCCCCGGGAAAGAGATTCCGAACTCGAACCGGCCCGGGTCAAACCGAAACGATTTGGTCGCACCTTTTCCGGCCCGAGATACTCATGGCCGAGCCCGCACCAAGGGACTGCTCGGCCTGCCTAGGTCGGGCCGAACCAGTAGCCTGCTTTTTTCCGACCCGGGCTCTACTTACAAGGATACCAGCTTTGACAGCAAGCCAATGTCAGTTGGGATGGAGTTGGTGAGCTGGTTGTTAGAGAGGGCACTGTACAAGACAAGGAAGCAAGAGAGACGTGGGGGGTGTGCAAGGAGATGAAAAACGGGTGAAAAGAAGGTAGGTAAGACGCCGCTGGTACTAACGTGAAATTAAACATAAGCATGAGGAGTCAAACTTGGGTCGACCCGATTCGAACCTCACCAGCCTATTACCCAACGCAAACAAGGTAGAGTTCCAGTCAGTTCAAGTCAAGCTTACTTCTAGCTTGGCCTGGCCTGGCCAGCCTATGGGCTCACTAAATGGGTTTGGCCATTGGCGATTCGTCACGAACCTAGGGTGCTTCGCCATATAGTAATCCTAGTTTGGCCTGACTACCATTCGTTACAACCACATTCTTCCAATGTGGACTGATTTACTCAATCCACTGAAACTTGGTTGTGCAAACAATTGTTGCCAAATATGCACATCAATCGAGACTTTTGGGAACGTGGACGGAAAGGGCAAACAGCCTGGGCGGGTTAATTCAACCCGACACGGGGTTTGGCCGGGTTTGGTCACCCTTTTGGTGGGCTCACACTGGCCAGGTCAACCCCACCCAACCCGCCCCGACTCCCAGGTCGGGATTTGCCAGCGGGTCGACGTGACCCGACCTCGGGCATATGCCGACCTGACCCGTTTAAGCGGACCTGGTTGAGGAATTCCTCAGGCCGACCCGCCCCTGACCGAGTCGACTCGACCCAAGCTGAGAAAAAACAGGTCGGGTTGGGATGGGTCGACCTGTTGCTCGAGTGGAAATGGAACATAGTTACAGGAAAGTAAGAGCAGTGAGCTTTGTGATCCAAGAGGGCAGAGATCCTGACAACATGTTGGCATCGAGAGAACTGTTGGTGGTGTAGAGTGTGGATGCATGGGAAGAATGGTTCCAAATCCATTAGTGTGTTTGCAGGACCAGACCAAGATAAGAAAGAAAAGGCATGAGCAATATATCGAACCAAACCCGTTTGAGTCCAACCAGAAAGAGTGTTGCCTGTTTCGAGGTTTGACTATTAAGGGTCAAACCGGGCAGGTTCGAACCGAACCAGAGGCGGCTCGATTTGAGCAAGCCCAGGGTCATATTGACTAGGCCCAACCTAACCGCACACAAGCCCTAATACTTGGGTAAATAGTACATTCGGCATAAAAAAACTGTTTGTCCTAAAGACAATGGTGATTCTACCTAAAGACCACCCATGAGATCGTTTTAATGCTGAAGGCGGTGGGCAGAATAGTGTAAGGTAGTCGAACCAGTCAAAAGGATAGGCTTGACTTAAATTGAATGGCAAGAAAAAGAGCCCCATTTTGATTCGCATCAAACTGAACAACGGCTTGGCCTTGTTTTGTCAAGTCTAAATAGAATAGAGGCAGAGACGGAAGAGAAATGTAGAGGTAACGGAGGTGAGGAAGTCGAGACACGAGATAGTTGGGAGGGAGTAAACATGACATAAGCATAAGTCTTTGGCTTTTGTACGAGCCGATGTTTCGGCTTTGGCTTGTCACGTTGGCTCGGTACCAAGGCGATTCAAGCCAACGATCCTGCTCCGCCATCTGGGCTGCTGTCCCACGAGCCTGACTCGAAGAACTTGCGTTGACTACCCGGTCGTTGGCTCGCACAAAAGCCGGAGCCGGCTGGTTGCAGCTCGACCAGCTCGCCTGCGATGGACGAACCACGAGCCTGGTCGGCTACTGACCCCACAAATGTTAATTGGTAAGTTGGACTTGGGCATGATTAAATTACCAAATCGAACCTGTTCGGTTACTTTACTATAATGGCAGGTGAGACACTCTCGATTCGTGGCAGCTCAAGATGAGCTGGCTCCACCCAGACTTATTTTACTGATCCAGCAATAAGAGAGATGGTACTGATCCAGTTTCAGCAGGTATGGAACCCCGCTGATTACTCCTAAGGGACCTGACGTTGCATTTGACTGCACAAAGGAAGAACCAAACCGTGGGGTTTTAATATGGAGAAGCACATGTGCATCGACTCGTGTCAAACGGAGGACGGAGGGATTTGCTCAACAATACGAGCTTCCACTCCAGATATCACATAGGATGAGGAGAAGAATGCTGATGAGTTTTCCTGAAACTTGGTGTACGAATCTAGGGCAGTAAGGAGAAAGCAGCTAGACTTAGGGAACGTGAAAAATGAGCCCCATCTTTCTTCTTTTATCATGTTCGTGTTCGTGTGGCCCCTCCGACGAACACATATGTGTTCGACCAAAATGTCCCCCGCGACACTGCTGTAGGTCGACATTGGACATTAGCTGAGCTCATTTCGAGCTCGTTTTTAGTTAACACACCCCCCACAGCCTAGTGTAGAATCACCAGCAGCAGTAACACCTTCAACAATACTTACATAGGATGGAGCTAGCGTTTTACTACAGTCGACACTAGTTTAGGGCTGTCAACATGATGGTTTTGGGGGTTTAGAAAGAGAAACCAGTGCTGGCTTTTAAATTAGCGCTTTTGGAAAGGCGAGCACGGACA